TTTTAAAAGAAAATACGAGTTAAACATCTTTCTTTAAAACTCATGTTTAACGCATTTTTAACTATTTTCGATATCTGTTTGGATTATTTGATATGCCTATAATGTAGTTCTCGAAATAAATTTTGAGATGATATAAGCAATTCGTAGATTCGATTAGCGTATGATCGTCGGAGAATTTTTAAAATTAGCATGTTATCGAAATTCAAATTTATTGTGATTTTGTCCCTGTTTGGTGGCGATTAAAATCAAATTTTTTGTAAATTTTGATAAAAGTTAAATAGATATGGATTTTATGAAATATGTTATTAAAATTAATTGTTAACTTTGAGTTAGATTAAAATTTAGATTTCAATCGATACCAAACATGATTTTATAAAAAAAAAAAATTCTCAAAAGTTGGGTGGGGGATAGAGGGTGGCCAACTGAGAGTTTCTTTTTTTCCTTTTTTTTTTATCAACTAATTTTTTTTAATGAACTCAAAATTATCATATGCACCCTGCCAGTTAGTTATAAGAATTGTTTTCACTGCTGAGGTGAATGTTTCAAAGATTGGTAACATCTCTCCTCTCCCCTCAAGAAAAAGGTATCATATGCTGAACTTTGAACAGTAGAGATTTTAGTCGCGAAAGTTTACATGTTTGGCCAAGCATAAAAAAATAAATTGCTTCTTTTTTTTTTTCTTTTTTTTACAATAACATAAGAATTTCTATCAAAATTAATGAGTTTTTATTTAATCTCAATCTGAAGTATTCAAGCTTACAAACATGGCTTTGTATATTAGCTATAATATATCATTTTTAGTCGTAAAAAATAAAAACTTGTACATTTTTGCGCGAAGAGATAGTTAATCAATGAGAACCAAACCAACAGACGACCTAGCTAAAAAGGAGCAAGTAAACAAGCATAATTGTAGTATTTGATCGACTTTGTACGCACACATGCTTAAGTCCTCAACTGTACACAAAATTCTCGATACAAACTAGTTTTCGGTTCAATATGAACCACTTCTATTTGTTTTCATGACACGTTTCACCTTCTTTAATACTTTTCAATATTATTCAGTTTAATTACCTCACTTAATTAACTTGCCTTCACGGTTTTATCTTAGATTATATATTCCCGTTCCTCGCGAACTTGTCAATCTGAGATATGTCAAGAATTTTTTCCAACCCACTGGCTTGTAGAAACCTGGCAACAGATAAAAACAGACTTAATATCCCAAGAGAATTTCAATAGTGAGAATAAGGGTGTTTCTATGTCAAGTGTAAATACATACTTATCTCTTAGATCTATTGTCATGGATTGGCAGCCTCCTGGAATTGTGGACTGCAAATTGACTGCTATATTTGGGTTATGAATACTCTGCCGGAGGTGTATCCAACCATATTGTCCATGTTCACCCTCAGTAACTTTAGCCCTGGATTTATATCCAAAATGAATTAAGCTTACTTCTCAATAAAGGGTCGACTGCAGAAATCATTTTCTAAACTTTGTTCAATAAACTGATAATAAAATCCAGTGGAAGAACCAAAGCAACTAGAATTTTGGCAACACGATGGGGTACGTTAGTTTTAATCCATCCCTTCCGCCAGGGCAGGTCCTCGGGATTATGAGGCCCTAAACGATAAATTGTTAGAATAAATGAAATGAACACTTTTAGAATAAATATTTTATTTTTAACTTCCATAAAAATTAATTTATAAATTTTAACGAAACTTTATAAGCTTAGCAAAAAAATTATAGGGAATATTTTTATTTTTATTTTTATTTATTTATTTATTTTGCATAGACTTTTTTCTAGATCTTGGCGATAGGGGAAAAAAAAAGATATAACACTAGACAATAGTTTAATTTATGTCCAGTTTATTCCTTAAATCAAGAAGCTAAGTTAAGTGTCCAAGTATTTTGAGCCTCTTATTTAGTCCCCCTTGTAAGAAATAGAGGCATGGAACGTACCTTAACTAGGTCTATGTTAATATGTTGTGGGCTGCCTCACTATACTATTGCTGTTGGGCCACTGGTACAGTTGGGCCTGTATGTTTTGGAGCCTGGCCTCTTGGTTCTTTAGGCCGTACACATGGCTGATTATCCACCCTGGATTGTAACTGTTCGACTTATTTGATTACTTGGCTCTTGGGTGTCTTGGGATGATTATTCGAGATACTTCGACTCTCTCTCTCGTCTCTCTGGTTCCTCTTTTCTCTGAGTGTAGATTAGGGTTCCTTCTGTGATTCGTTCACTGCAATCTTGCTTTGTGTTCT